CTACAAAGAGAGGAGCTTAAGGAGGGTAGAGGTAGGTTGAGAGAATTTCAGAGGAAGAGGTTTCAAATGATGAAAACTCATTCAATTAATCCAAAAGTGACTACAAGACTCGGCCATATAGAATATATAGGAAAAAATTAGGTTAAAGTGTTCCATGGGTTAGCCTAAGGTTAAGTGAAACCATGGTATGGTTACTTAACCTTAGGCGCCCAAAATTTGAATTCAAAATTCAACTTTTGGGAGCCAAACCCGGAACCTCCCATGTGCTTATCATTTGGCATGTGATTAGCTTCTCATTTGAGTTGCATTTAGGTCACACCATGTGCATGTGTGCACATGGCCGAAAATGCTTATCAAATGCAAAGCTAATTACATGCTAATGATAATTCACATGCAACCTTAATTAACCCTAAATTCCAATGACCTCTAAATGTAAATCCTAAGCTACAAGGCCGGAAATACAAGGCCCAAAAGAAAATACAAGGCACTAAGGCCCAAACCTATACTATCCCTAATCTAATGGGCTTGAGACAAAGCCCAACAAAATAAAGTCATCACTCCACTTTCCAAAAAAGGCTAAAACACAATGATAACTTCTTTGTAGCAAATATGCTTTGTTTAATAGCCATAAACACTAAAGCCCACCTTGGCGAACCATTCTTCTAAAAAACCCTTATGGAAAAAACATCCATTCAAACAACACTTCTAAAAGAATACAAACATCCCTTCTTTCTTTTCTCTTGACCCTTATGGCATTAAAATGGTACCGAAAATATACACGGAGAATGCACAGTGAATACTCACAGAGGAAAGATTGAGATGACCCCGAACAGAGTTGGGAGACGCTTGACTACACATCAACTGGATAATCAATGAGCCACTAAAAGCTTGGGTTCAAAGGAACACATCCCGACAATAATAAAAAATGGAATGGATAAAAAGGAATCGTCATCATTAACGCATACAGGTTAATTTCCCGACATAAAAAAAAAGAAAAAAAAACAATTTCATTTTTTAGGAACAAACACATGAGCATAAATTGCATCGCATGAATATGAGGTAGGGGCATATGAAAGGGCGTTACTAAAAAAAAGGGAATAAATAATAAAATCATTACTGTCTTGCATTTTCATTGCATCCATACATCCATGCATTCTACTTCCTATGGGTCAAAGGATTCATTAGCACAAGGCACTCGTAAAAGCTGAATAACCAAGCATGAGCCGAAGCGGTGTCAAATAGCAACCCCAAGTATTCTTTCTATGTGCCCACTAAGCAAAGACATATCAATAGTGGAATAGAACAGAATCGATCGAATAAGCAAGCCCATAAGCATGAAAAGGCCATCACGCCCTACTCCTCAACCAAATGAAGGATGATCCAAGAGAATGCCAAGACCAGGAATTGATAGCAAAACTAGGAGAAAGTGAAAGATGTTCTTCTCGACGGATTTGCTTAGGCCGGATCTTCTTCAATGGAGGATGAATTCTTCTAAAAAACCCTTATGGAAAAAACATCCATTCAAACAACACTTCTAAAAGAATACAAACATCCCTTCTTTCTTTTCTCTTGACCCTTATGGCATTAAAATGGTACCGAAAATATACACGGAGAATGCACAGTGAATACTCACAGAGGAAAGATTGAGATGACCCCGAACAGAGTTGGGAGACGCTTGACTACACATCAACTGGATAATCAATGAGCCACTAAAAGCTTGGGTTCAAAGGAACACATCCCGACAATAATAAAAAATGGAATGGATAAAAAGGAATCGTCATCATTAACGCATACAGGTTAATTTCCCGACATAAAAAAAAAGAAAAAAAAACAATTTCATTTTTTAGGAACAAACACATGAGCATAAATTGCATCGCATGAATATGAGGTAGGGGCATATGAAAGGGCGTTACTAAAAAAAAGGGAATAAATAATAAAATCATTACTGTCTTGCATTTTCATTGCATCCATACATCCATGCATTCTACTTCCTATGGGTCAAAGGATTCATTAGCACAAGGCACTCGTAAAAGCTGAATAACCAAGCATGAGCCGAAGCGGTGTCAAATAGCAACCCCAAGTATTCTTTCTATGTGCCCACTAAGCAAAGACATATCAATAGTGGAATAGAACAGAATCGATCGAATAAGCAAGCCCATAAGCATGAAAAGGCCATCACGCCCTACTCCTCAACCAAATGAAGGATGATCCAAGAGAATGCCAAGACCAGGAATTGATAGCAAAACTAGGAGAAAGTGAAAGATGTTCTTCTCGACGGATTTGCTTAGGCCGGATCTTCTTCAATGGAGGATGAATTCTTCAACTCAAGAACACTTGCAAGCTATGAACTCACGGATGAACTCAACCTAGAACTAGGAGGGAAGCATCCAAGCTCAAGCATCAATGGAGAGCACACTTCAAAGAGAAGGATTCTAGGTGAATTCCTAAGGTTTTTGAAGATGAACTCAAGGAGACTTTGAGAGGGAAACTCGGCACTATGGCTCA